AAACAGTTTTCTCAGTGTAGAACTCGTTATTCGAAAAATAACTATTTGTAATTTGTAAAATTTTCAAAAATTCTTTTTCTACTTTTCAACTGTAATATGTCTTTGAAACAGATGAAAAAACAAGGAAAATATAATTCTAATATTCTTCGACATATATATATATATTATATATACGATATTTAGTCGCTTTATGAATGGAGTGTCATTTTGTTAAAAGCAGCTTTTTCTCTTTGAAATGGATGTTCTTTGCTGGCGGTGAATATAACGCTAACAATAAGATTAAGTGTCACTGAGCTGGGTGTAGGGAAAGGCAAAGTGATAATAACTGCTTGGGATGCAGTGGGCGGAAAGTCGTAAAACATATAGAGGGTTGCCATGGTGAAAAGAGGAAGAGAAGTTTTGTGGCTTCCATATAATTTCGAGTAAGAATACGTGCGCACTTGACTGAGAAAATAGATGCGGTGAATAAAAGGCAATGCTGAAAATTAAAGACAGAAGTAGAAGGCGCGCGCGCTTATATATAAAAGGGAATACTTTGGATATAAAGAAGTGATATAGATGACAAGTAAATTTATACTCTAGCTATATATATGTTCATTCAACGTTGATTCTTTATAGGGATTCAGAGGGATTCGAAATAGATTAAGAATTGAGTAATTTTCGCACTATACTTTTTGAATTACCGCCAAATTTACACTCACTTTTTTTATCCAACTTTTCAACTTTAAAGTCTATTCTATTCAAAATATTTATTAGACATCTAAAATTTAAATATTTTACATATATACACGGAAAAAAAATGTAAAACAAAAATAAAGTAATAGTATTTCCAAAGGTAAATTCTAAATTGTCAGGAATTTCTAGTAACGTTTGCTCTGAAAATAGTAAAAAAAATACATTTTCGGAGTAAATTTTACTAATTCAGAAATTTTTCTATTAGTGGAACAAAAGTTGCCATATAGATGCACAGAAGTTTCGAACAGTTTAGGTTTATTTAATCTATATAAGTATATATAGTAAAAGTTACCTTACATTTTTTTCCGTGTACAGTAAATAACGGTATGAGTAAAAATTAAAAATTTATTTTTGGTAAGTTGAAACAAATAATATTTCAAGAAGAGTATATAACAAAAAATCACATAAGATTTTATTCGTATTTTTATGTAGGTATATTTTTTGACAATTTATAAATTCAATTTTTTCTTCACGTTAACGCGTTTTTTTGTATATAACAATATAAAGGATATAAGGCTCGAAGGTATAATGTGCTGGGCGTCCCTCGGTTCTATAAATATATAGTGAATACCATTTATTAAATTTGATGACTGTTTTCCAGGATTAACAACAATAACACTTCTTCTTCAAACAACAAATTTCTTACGAAATTCTCAAGATAAATATATATATAAAGCCCGCGGCTAAGTCAGCTCACATTCCAATTTGAAAAAAAACTTATATATAGTATAGCGTGGCGCAGAAACCAAGAGGAAAAGAGAGAGAGAGAGAGAGAGAGAAAGAGAGAGAGAGAGAGAGAGAGAGAAAGAAGTTGCTCCCAATTTGTTTTGGGGTATAATTTTAAATGAATCACATATAATATACTATTTCAATTTTTTTTCAACTTTCCTCATTGATTACAAATCTGATGTCAGATTTTAGAAAAAGAAAATGTTGGTTACAAAATTCAATTTTTTAATAGCAGGTACAGTACAATATCCCCTGGAGGATCGCAAACTACGAATGTGAGACTAATTCTTCTCACATTCGTCTCACATTTGTAGTGAGGGAAATTTTACAGAAAAAACCTAGACTCATTTTTGTTGAAGTTCAAAATGAGCCAATGCTAAATGACATAGAACGTGGCGCCACCTACGAGTAAAAATATAAATGAAAGTGAAGATGGAAATGAAATTACACAATCGACCCCCTAAAAGGTTTCGCAGATTGTAGATCAAATTTTAAGTAATTGAAATTCTACCCCGAGAAACTGTTTTCTGATTGGTTACACTTTAATGTAATTATTACGCCAATATTTACACGAAACTTTTCCATAGACTGATTTAACGTGATGTAAAATCTACCTCGATACTTTTTGTAGTATTTACTTTAATATAATATGCGTCATATTTTTCCAGTTTTTTCAAATTTGAAAAAAATATGATCTTGATAGTAAATATTGATTGTATATTTTGTTCAAAACAAGGTACATACGTACTTTTTTAAATGACGTATATGTTGATTACGTTTGTTATTATACATGTAATTTACGTAAAATTATAGTGACATAAATTATAAATTACAGTGATGACGTACTTTCACACATTTGATTAAATTTTTTTTTTAAATACCAAAAAGTTAATAGAAATTACTTATTCTTAAAAATATTTTCTATATTCCAATTTCTTTAAATTTCACAAAAAAAGTACAAATTTTTCTTCCAAAAGAACAAAAATTCTTTCTGTCAGCACTGAAACAGTATTATATCTTATCTTTACACTCTAAATCTGTGAAATTTTCACTGATTTCAAATCAGTGGACGAGTTTTCTTTAATTCATCAGTGGAATTTTATTGAGAATCAGTAAAAACCACTGATTGTCAGTGAAATTCCACTGATGAATTAAAGAAAACTCGTCTACTGCTCTCTAAATTTGAATCAGCTGAAATCCGCTGATTGGCAGCGAATAGTCGCTGATTGAAAAAGCTATAAGTATGCAGCTGCGAATCAGCGACTAACAACTATTTCAATCAGCGGAATACTCCATTTTAAAAATAAATTTATCTTCCGACGAAAATGACCGACGTTCGCCGATTCATGTTTCGCTATTTTCGAGTTTTATTAGCTGTATCCGATGATTTGCAGTGAAAACTTTATTCGCTGATTCAAACAGTGAAATTTTAGCTAATTTAAATTTAGAGAGTGATTTGAAATCAGTAATAATTTCACTGATTCAGATTTACTCTCTAAATTTGAATCAGCTAAAATCCGCTGATTGGCAGCGTATAGTCGCTGATTTAAAAAGCTATAAGTATGCAGCTGCGAATCAGCGACTAACAACTACATATTTCAATCAGCGGAATACTCCATTTTAAAATAAATTTATCTTCCGACGAAAATGACCGACGTTCGCCGATTCGTGTTTCGCTATTTTATTAGCTGTAACCGCTGATTTGCAGTGAAAACTTTATTCGCTGATTCAAACAGTGAAATTTTCGCTAATTCAAATTTAGAGAGTAGAGTGTACCTGTTATTTCTTCACTGATGATAATAATAGTTGTAAGTCTTTTATAACACAGGCCAACAAAATTAGCAAACTTTTTTGTTGAGGCAAATGTCAGACCTGTTTCTGATAGGTTTTTTCATGCCGAACACGAATCCGTAAACGAAAATTTCCTATCAGGGAGTCGATTATGTAATTTGATTTGACTTTGACGTCAAATTTATTTTTTGATTGCAATATGTCAAATTGCTATCAAAAAATAAATGCGAATGCGACGTTAAATTGAAATAAAAAATTAAATTTTAATTTAACGTCTAAGTTAAATGAAACAATGAATTTGTTGAATTAAATTTGATTTTGACGTCAAATCAAATTACATAATCGACGCAGCTCTAGTTTTTGAGAAAAACGGGTTTAAAATGTTCAAAAATCGCGTTTTTGGCTAACTTTGAGTATCTCTAACACTGAAAAAAAAGGTCGTAGAACCTTCCACTTGGGCTTAATTTGAAGCTTAATGTTTTATCTATTATCCCCAAAAATGACCTATCTTGCACCATAACCTCAAAGTCATTTGTTATCCATTTTTGATTCCCAAATATTAATTTTGTAATAGTTTGAGCGCGTACATCTAGTCCTTGAGGTTAAGGTGCAGCAATGTAATTTTTATGAACTACAGTCAAGGGATAAATAGAATTGAAGCTCAACAAGAAGGTTCACTCACCTTTGGTTTTATTGACTAGAGTTATTCAAATACTAACCTCAAATTGAGGTTATTAGTGAATAATATAATTTTTAGGGCTTGTAGTCTAAAGTTCAAACTTTATTTTAAGTTCAAATAAAAGGTTCTATGATCCTTTTTATTCTTTGCTAGAGGTACGCGCTCAAAATTTTACAAAATTAATATTTGCGAATTAAAAATGATAACAAATGGCTTTAAGATTATGGTGCAACATAGGTCATTTTTAAGGATATAATAGTTGAAACATTAAGCCTCAATTTAAGTCCAAGTGGAAGGTTCTACGACCTTTTATTTCAGTGCTAGAGGTACTCAAAGTTAGCCAAAAACGCGATTTTTGAACATTTTAAACCCGTTTTTCTCAAACACTATAGCTGATAGGAACTTTTCGGTTTACGGATTTGTGTTCAGCATGAAAAAACATATCAAAAACGCAGGTCTGACATTTGCCGCACCAAAATCAGTGTTGGCCTGTGTACACTCTAAATCTGAATCAGTGAAAATTCCACTAAATTCAAATCAGTGGCTCAGTTTTCTTTAATTCACCAGTGGAATTTCACTGGGAATCAGTAAAAATCACTGATTCTCAGTGAAATTCCACTGGTGAATTAAAGAAAACTGAGCCACTGATTTGAATTCAGTGGAATTTTTACTGATTAAGATTTAGAGTGTAATCTTACCTTAATTTGGCTAATTTTTATCCATCAACTCTTCAAGAATAAAAACTTCAAACATCCAAAAGAAAACTAAAATTTTCAAAGATATTGTTGGCCCTCTCTCTCTCTCTTTCTCGCAGGTAACAAAAATTTTTCCCATCCTACGCCACTGAAGAAACGTGTAAAGCACCTGAAAAACAAGAAAGTGCCCTCTGAGTTCGAAAAAGAAGCTGAAGCTTAAAAGAAAGTCTTATACATATATATATATATACATACATAGTATAGAACCAGAAATCATTGGTTAGAAAAGGATAGTGAATGAGAAACCACGTGGTACATGGTTACTGGTGGGGGATTCGAACGGCTTCGTTCAGCCGACAGCGTTTCCCCTTGGCTCTCTGCTCTCTGCGGGGTTGAGTAAGTCTCGCTATAGACATGGTATAGACTGTAGAGTTGCAGTTAGTTGCTATCCGACCGTTGTTCTGGCTGGATTATTCGTCGTATTCAAGTCTTATGTTTACACGAGTGTTAATTGCAGTTTTGTGTTGTACAAGTGTGATATAGTGAATATAACATCAAAACCACGTTTTAGTTTTCATTAATTAAAAAAATATTTGCAACCAATTTTTTTCTTTTCCTAGTGATAGTGTGTGATTCTAATTTTATTTAAAAAAAATTTTTTTTTTTTTTGGTGTTTGTGAGTAAATAAAATGTGAGTGTGGATCAAAAGTGATATGTGAAAAATCATAAAGGATACGTGATAAATATATATATATATATATTTTAGTTGTAAAAATTTTTTTTTCAAAAACAAAGTTCCTCATTGGTTGATGTGCAGCGGAAGCTTTTACTTTTTTAACAAGGATGTATCCGAGTGCCCAGGCCGTGGCCGTCGCATCTGCCGCTCGACACCCGGTAATTATTTTTTTTTTTCTACTCTTGTTTTCATTGCTCTTGCCATGGGTAAAATTTATTGATTCGTATATTTTAAATATTTATTGTTGATAACAATTCTTTTTTAGAGAGATGGAAAATATTTTTTTCTCTTGAAAAAAAAGTAATTTTAAAGAAGCTAGTAAGTTTAGCCTTTTTTTTTTTTAGATAAGTTCCATTATACGTTCTTGATACTTTGTTTCAATCTTTACATTGTTATTATCATTGTTTCTTGTATTTTACTTTTGTTTTTTTATTTCTTTACTTCGTGATTTAGTACATATTGACAATAATTTCAGATTCTTTAAATTTTTTTTGTAGAATTGATGAAATTTTTTTTTTCTATTTCTTCTTTAGCGATATAAGTTTTAGTTGAACAATATATAACATTTAGAGGTAATAAATTTTAGCAGTGAAATATCATGGTATGTCGATTGCATATATATATAGTCATATGTCGTAACTCCAATTCAGACATCAATAATAATACCAACTAAGTAGCGTCATCAAAATATCAATTGAATCTTAGTAATTAACGTTTTGTTATCGACAGTGCAGATGATCGGGGCATTGTTTATCATTGTATGTGTATTCGTGTTAACTAGCAATATTTGCTCAATTATTATTGCAACAGTTACCTCTCACCTCGCCCATTCGGTAAATGACTACGGCACAAGAAATTAACGTTTATTACTCGGATTTATGACGATAATGATCTCGTGTACGGGCTTACTCGGAAATAATCATTTTTATCTGTTATTAAGTTTTATTATGTCAATGATTTTGTTTCTTAATATTTTTTTAACGTTCTGATATATACAGAATTTTTTTTTTTTTTAATGACATTTCAGAAACGTATATCTATATACAAAAAAAAAAAACAATATAACATTATCCATTTTTTGAATATAATTTAGGACTTTGACTTTTAGGAAATTAAAAGTAAATTCGCTATTCAAAAATGTCAATTAGTTTTGAAATTTCCCGCCACTTTCGTTAATATATGTTACACGCACCTATAACCTTATTTCTTCATGGTCTATTAAACAAACAAATAAAGCGCCTTAAAATAGTATGTTTCGATTTAAATTAATATAGAAACATGGAAATAATTTATTAAAATTTCAACGCAGTGGGCAAAAAAAGTTTTTTGTTCTAGAAAAGTTTCTAAAACATTTTAGAAATGTTTCATATCTGTCAAAATAACGTGTTAAGAACCTTTTAACATTCTAAAAAATGTTTTTAGAACATAATTTGTAAATTATTTTAACGATGAAGAAAGAAGTAAAATATACTTTTTACTCCTTTCTTCACTGTTACATATAGGCAAAGTAACATTTTCAATTTCAAAAACTTGTAAATTATTTTAACGGTGAAGAAAGAAGTAAAAAACACAAATAAATAATAAATATTTTAAAATGTTTTAGCAACGTTCCTAAAAATAGAATTCTTTTTACCCACAGGAAAATTTATTTGTTAAAGAAAAATTGTTTTCGAAAATTATAAAAGTTGATTGAAACTGTTTTTTTTTTCTTAAAATAAATATTTTTTAAATTCTAATTTTAAAAACAACATATTATTTTATTTTAAAATATTTTTTGCAAGGCGAATAAATATTTATTAATTCGCCTAATTTTTATAATAAAAAGTTATATTTTATATACAGACTGAAATTTTTGATGGCACCTTTCCCAGCTACGCCACTGGAAAGGGTCGATATTTCATCAAAGACCAGCGAATAAAAGTGAGCAATGTTTCGCAATTGAATTGTGTATATATATATATACTGTGTATATTTTTTTTCATATTAACAAATTGCGTGACATTTTTTTTTTTTTGCAAATATTTGTTATAAAATTTAAAGATCACCAATTTATTATTGTTATTGTTTTGTCAATCATTTCTTACAAAAAATATTTGTGTGTGTGTGTGTTTTTTTTTATTTCGCACTAATAAAATGTCGCACATACATATATATATAATAATAATTTGTCAATCATATGTCTGTTTTTCATTATTATATCGATTTTTAAAACATTAATACTTTTAAAGAGGTCAAGTTATTCCTTTCATTTATCATTTAAGAAATTTTAGATTTTTTTTTTTTGGGAAAATCTTGTGACGCTAATGATAAAACATGGTTTTATGGTTTATAGTTGTGACAAATATAGAAAACAGGTTTTTTGTGTATAAGTAATTTCTGGAAAGATTGGGGAGAAAAAAAAAGGCGAGTAGTAATTTAACGAGTTTGCTTCTTGTTTAAATATTTATTGGAGAGAAGCGATAATTTTGACAAGCCCTTCTATATAGCAAACTTCTTTCTTTTGGATTTTTTTTTTTTTTATTATTTCTTCTTTGAGTGTTTATACACATTCATTTTTCTCGCAAATACGTGTGAATGGCTGTTTAAATAAAGAAAGCCAATCTTCTCTCTTAGGGTTTCCTGATTATTCACCAAAAAAAAAAGAGTATGGCTTCTTTTTTTCATCGTATTAGAGTAGCTTTGGCTTCAATATACATAATAACATACGAATTATTATTTTTGGGCCCTTAGTCACAACATATATACAGCACTGATAATATTTCGTGAAAAAAATTCTGAGTCCAGGCAATGGAGTTGACCGGGATCTTTTTTATGGCAGGCTTAATAGTTCTATTCAAGAAAATTTTGCCTACCGCTACCCTTTTTCACCTGTTCCTAGAAAAAAAAACTGTCTACAGAAATGACCAAAATCGCGAAAAGAACGATAATTACACTTTTTCCAACAAATTGAATTAATTGTTGGGTTTAATATTTATGCACAGAAATTTGATTCATTAAAATCGGCCCAGTAGATCGAGAGATAACACTGTCTTCTTTTTTTTTTACAATAAAAACAATAATAATTAATATTTTTTAAAAATTCAAAAATGGCTTTATTCTGAAGGATTTAATGAATAAATGATACTTTTTTCAAATTTTTTCAATGAAGGATTTTCATATAAAAGTGTCATGCAAAGTCAGGTAATTTCTAAAGTAACAAAAAATAGGGTGCATTTTAATTTATTTTTGCGTCTGTCAGAATGAAAATTTTTTTTGGAGAAACGGCCTGAAGTATACAAGCTTGTGAGATTCTAAGCTTTCCAAATATTGTTTCCGTTTTTTCCTAGCAATTTTTTTTAAAGGATTATTCAAAGTGAAAGTCTATCATTTTTCAGGGGCCTTAAATTTTCTCGCGGATAGTAGTTACATATTCAAAAGTGGGATTAATTTACCACTGGATGTTTTTTTTGTGTTAATGGTATTAAAAATTATGCTTAAAAGTGAAAATAATTTGTAAAGGCTTACATTGCGTCTCTTAACAGTGAAGAAGAAAGGAGTAAAAAATATAGTTTTTTACTTCTTTCTTCACCGTTAAAATAATTTACAAGTTTTTGAAATTGGAAAGGTTACTTTGCATTTGTAACAGTGAAGAAAGGAGTAAAAATTATACTTTTTCTTTCTTCATTGTTAGAAACGCTAAGTAGCATTTACAATTTAAAAGATTTGTAAATTTTTGTAACAGTGAAGAAAGAAGTAAAAAGTATATTTTTTAATCTCTTTCTTCACTGTTACAGAAGTTTATAAATTAAAATTTGAAAGGTTTCTTTGCTTCTCTACCAGTGAAGAATACTTTTTGCTTCTTACTCCTTTCTTCACCGTTATAGAGACGTAAAGTAACCTTTACAATTTCAAGTAAATTTTTCAAAATTGATTTTTTTCCAAATCATTTTCCACATTTAATTGTTTAGTTTCTCCGCTAAGTAAATTGAGTGGAAAAAATTTGACACGTGATCACATATAGTAGGGTTGTAAATCCAGAATATTTCGGTTTTGTCAGTTTGAAATTTAAACATGTTGGTATGTATATATATATAGAGGGATACCCGTCAAGAGAGCCGGCTCTCTGAAGCTTTGAATAGGGTTGGGGAGGCTCTCACTTTGTTACCAAGTGTGGCTAATGTAAACACAGGTGCGATCTTTGAGCATTGGCAGAAATGACCTGGTTGAAGATTCCAGTTGGCTGAGCATCATCATCTCTCTCTCTCTCCCTCTCTCTGTCTCTCTTTCTCTCTGTTTACAGATCATTGTCATCTGCGACTGTGTGTCCCGTCGGCATTTTTCTCTCCCCCTTATATACTTATTATACAAAGACTCCCATTCACTTTAAGCTTTTTTTTTTCTCAGTCTCCAAATTGCCTTGACGTCTTATCCCGTTCCTTGAATTTATTTAAAATACTTAAAATATTAGCTCGCTTCTCGGGATTATCAAGTCTTTCTTATCTTTCTTTTATATATGCGAATATAGTCTCTCTCTCTCTCCTCGTGTATTTATAAATAATTCATTTGAAAAATGATGTTTCTGAATTTCTCAAATTCTTTCAATATTTATATTCACTTATATTGAGTGGAAATTTAATTTAAAAAAAAAACGATTGGAAATGAATTTTTTTTTCTAATCATTAAAGAGGGCGAGTTGGGATATCATGGAAGGGTTGTCACTACAACACTCCGATTCACACACTATTTGTACAATGGAGATTTATAATACGCGCCAATTACACGTAACACGGTTCGCTCATTCCGTGGCATAATTCATCCCGTGTAATTACCAATGCATATTGTGGTTACTGTGGGAAGCATAGCGACTGAGTAGCCCTCGAATTTAGTTTCGCCGTCAATTCGATTTCAATTTTACAGTAATTCCGTTCAGCAACTCCCATGAGCTACTGGCGAACAACAACAATGGTATACACATCAGCAAGTATTAGGGATATGACAATTATAGAATTCAACTAAATTAATACTGATTTTGATTGGTAAAGTATTAACTTCATCATTTTCTTTTTTTATTTTCACAACTCTAAATTTTCTTTTCTACAAAACGTTTTTATTTTCTCTCTCTAAAGTTTTGTGTTTCATTCGATGCAACTCATTCTGAAAAAAGATCCCAAAGAGCGTTTTACAAAGTTTGAAATACTTTTTTTAAAGCGGAAATTCTAAAAGTTTCTAAATGAAAGTAGAGGACGAGATTTTTTTAACAAAAAACAATTCGCATTTCAATTAGAAAAACGTGTTAAGCAAATTTCTTGCTTGAAAAAGTTGTTTATTGTAACGGAAATTAATCGTTTTTCACCTCGAGCTTTATTTTCACATGCGTTATCGAAAGCTACAAACTGTTTTTTTCTATTAACGTCACTGGAACAATGATAAATGAAAATTGTATTTTAAATGTATTTTATTTTCTGTAAGAAAAATATAGGCATAAAGTACAAAAAAAAACAAGAGCGATTAAATCAGATTTAATAGTTTATTTGACGTTGAATGTGGCGCCATCTACGAGGCACATTTTTGTTGCACTCAGATTTTTTCTGTGTAAACATTTATCGTGTTTGGTAGTAAGAAATAACAATTTTGAAAATCGTTAGGTTTGACGTTGTAAACTTTAGTTTTTTTATTTCAGTCCTTGAACATTGTGAACAGATAGGCGAAAAAAAGGAGATAATTTTACAAAGAGATAATCTACGTCTCTTTTTTTTTATTATAGATCAGAAGCATCCGGCTTCTTTAGTTCGTGACTCATTACTCACGGTGCTTGACCGAGTTGACACAAGGCACTGTTATTGGCACGCTATAGGGCTGCCGCACCAATTCTGTTTGCGTACTAGCTGTACAAATATTATTTCCGTCACGAAGGCAAATAGCTTATTGATTACGACAAAATTCAAAACGAAATATATGTTTTTCCTTAAAAATTATATTTATATTTTAAACAACTTTTAATTATGAATTGAAAATCAAGATTACAATTCAATGTACTAAAATCGTTAAAGAAAAAGCTTAAAGAGCAATTTCCGTACTGATAGTGTCAGTAACACATGGGGCACACAATATATCCAGATTATGTGATTTCCCCTCATATCAAACGAGGCGTATATGAAATGGAAGAGCAGAGAGAAGAAAATTGGAGCATGCCACTTTACGATGAATCGTGCAATAAGATTAATTTTGGCGTGTGCGGGACAGTTAGATACACATACATACACACAGTCCGTCTGTGTTAGGAGAAGGAAAAGATATTCTTGGACTACTATTCCAAACAACTTGAGTTTATTAGTTCTATTTGAACCCGTCGAGAGAGAAAGAAAGATTCTTTTCCTGTTCCATAATTCAACAATGAAATACCTCATCGTGTCCTGTTCTTTTCATCTATCCTATATAAACTCAAATATCTATCCCAGCTGGAGGAACTTTCAAGCTTGTATATGTCTATTACAAACTATAAAAGACTCAAAAGCCAGGGAGATGAGAACCTCGCAAAATTTCAAGCCAATAATTTCATTGTCACCTTTTTGACTCTGAAAACTTTTGGTCCCTTCTCAGAATTATATTACCAGTCATGAAGTTTGGCGAGAGAACAGCTTTCCTATTTCTGTGCCTCATCTTTATATTAGATTGTTGTTCTTTTTAGTTTCTTTTTATTGGAAAAATCCCGGTTGTAAATATTTTTGAAATCTCTGATTTATGATATAATTGTATTGGAAAATTTCGAAAGCGGGTTTTGGTATATTTGAAAAAAAAAAAAAAAAACCCCTGACATTTGCTATTTAGTCTCAAATAATTAGATTGGAATATTTTAAATATAAACTCCCAACGGTGAAAATTTGAAAGCCTATAATCGTATTATATATGATCAGCAGGATGCCTTCTCTTGATATGAATTA